GGCGCAATGGTTAAGCGCTCGGCTGCTAACCAAAAGGTTGGCAGTTTGAACCAACCAGCTGCTCTGTGGGAGAAAGATGTGGCAGTCTGCTTCCGTAAAGATTACAGCCTTGGAAACCCTACGAGGCAGTTCTACTCTGTCCTACAGGGACGCTATGAGTCGGAATCAACTCGACCGCAGTGGGATAGGTTTTTGGGTACGTTAGATAACTTACCATAGAATTTTAAAATGAAGAGAGAAGTAATGAAAGCTGTTCTACTAAAGGGGAGATATCGAGTAAATAAACATTCTCATTTATAAATATCTGTGCAAATGAAATGTAAAATGAGAGAAACAGAATACAGAGATTATTAGAAGTTAGCAGAATATTGTATATTCTGGATCAACCTCGGAGAATTATACTCATCTCTTTCATTCTTTTCTATTCTGGAAATAAACTAGTATTTATACAAAGCTTGCACTGGTGTTCTGTTTGTCTTTGGCAATCTTGGATATACAGAATTTTAGAGCTGAAAAAGCACGGGCTAAGGAGTCCAAGTTTCAGCTATGTCACTTACTAGCCACATGACCTTGGCAGATGTTAATGCTTTGAGCCTCAGTTTCCTTATATGTAAAATGTGAAAACATAAGTACTGTACTGAGTCGGAATCGACTCAACAGCAGTGGGTTTTTGGCACTTCTCTCAGAGTTATTATGAGGATTCAATGAGTTAATACATATCAGGTACATAGCACACGTTTGGTAGCTATTATGTTTTCATCCCTCAATTTTACATACAAGGAATCTAAAGGCTAGGAAGGTAAACTAGTTTGCCCCAAATCACACAACTTCTTAGTGGCAGAGTCAGAACTAAAGGTCAAGTCCTTTGAGTCGCAGTCTAGTCACTCTGTCAACTGTACTTTGCTATACAGCATTGCCTCTCTGGCTTTGGCAGCTAATTAAAGTTTTCTCTCCCCTCTCCTCAAAAAACTCATTTCAGGCCCTAACTACAAATAAAGTAAAAATGCAAAGACAAGATAACTACGTGTTGACTAATAGGGAAAATTAATGGGCAAGCAGAGACATGGTACAAAGGGGAATTTGTCCAAGAGGTGTTCACTGCTACCAGCCAAATGCTAAACTGCCACTATTCCCATTGTAGGTCTGAAGCCTTAGGGCAGTACATTCTAATCTTGATCATAACTCTATCCTGGAGTTGAAGAAAATCCAGGACAACCAGCTGAGCAGGAACAGTGTGATAGTTAGAGAATTGGTTACCCTCTTGTGTTATGCTAAGATTCTCTTGCTCTTTTGCTCTAAAAAAAAGTTTAACTTTCAGTTGTTCCTCTAAGCAACATTTATAAATAAGGAACAAAGACTGAGAAAGAAAATATGACTCATTATTTTTAGAAACAGCGGCAATAACAATACTAGAAATAGTATAAATAAACAATAAGTAATAAGAGGTAAACAAACCAGGAAACTGAAAAGTAGACAATGCATAGCTTCAGCATATTTTCCATCTACAATGGTATAAACAGGAGAAGAATATATTCGAAAGAAAAATAAAATAGTAAGAAGTTAAAATCACTATCACTTAGTCCTCTTTATCATTCACCGCCAAGAAGTAATTAGGAGATGTGGACCGTTTCCTTGACATGAATCTTTTATGGCGAATAAGGGATCTACTCATAAGACCAGCAGTGGAAGGTTATCCTAAACATATATATAAACTGAGTGGAAGACATAGAAACAAAAAAAGGCAGGAGGAAAGCAGAGGAGAGGAAGAGACAAGGATTTTGGCAAACGGGAAATCTAAGAACGAAACACTTTAAAGACAATGGCAAACCTGCACAGGGAAATGATACAGTACACATGAAATGATATGATAATGTAAAGAAGTAGTTCTCTGGCAAAACGGAAAGGAAAGCAATATAATTTGATCAATATAATTTGATCAGGGCTAAGATGGGAAGTTTTGAAATGGAAAGGAAAGAACTTGAGAATTACAAGAAAATATAGCAAAGGTAACATGTTCTCTTTTATTTTAACTTTCTTCTAGTACTCTTAAAAAGAATACTACAATTCAAAATTTTGAACATATCTTGTAAAACAGATATTACTGTTGCCAAAGAGAAATCTAAGCACAAAGATGAGGGCTCAGTATCAGGACAAAAATGCATTAAGGCCTTGCGTTCAAGGTCCTTGTATAGCCATTGGATGAAGTTGAGTGAGACAAGCAACATTATTTTAGAGACAATTCTATGGTCTATTTTATTATTAAATAAATTGGGGGCACATTGTCAAGGGATGTTTCCCTTTGTTTAAGGAATATTAAAATTTTAATGCAAATGAAAATCCAGTAAATTTGGTTCTTATGAAAATTGTATACACCCTGAATTAATAGAGCAAAATGTAAGGAATATTTGATTTCCTGAAACTCTCTGGGAACTACAGAAAGCGCAAGGTTATTATTACTTTTTAAATCACTGTCCTCATACCTTCACCTTTCCTAATGCATAGCATCCCCAGGTTTACAAAGACTTGATTGCATCTTTGGAGACAATCTTAACAGGCGGCTCAAATAATTCATAGATAGAAGGATACATAGAATTACCCAAAATTCTTCAAAATCAGCTGAGACAACTGGTTTTAGGTTTGTGACACTGGAGTACAGCTATACACCAAGAAAACTAAAGTGCAGCAAAGCAGAGCTCTAGGAGATATAAACACACCTTCAGTTAAATGGAAGACTTGGTTAACCCTAGTTGAGTAAACCTGAGTTGCAGTGCAGTCTGATAAGGAACAAACAGCATGGATTCTAGAAGTGTAAACCATGTGTCCCTAACACACTTGAGTTCTCTGAAATAGTTAATCAAATAGTAGATAAAGAAGAACTGATGCATATAATTCAAAAGATTTTTTAAAAAGAAAAATAAAGCCTCTCACAAGAGACTTAAGAAAAGTTAGTAACTGTTGTGGATTAAAAATTGATTAATTAAGCAATAATACAGGGCCAACACTGAAAATCCGCAGAGATTAATACTAGGCTAATGTACAAATTTATTAAGCCCATGTGGACAGAAGCCTATGTGGACAGAAAAGGTGAAGACAGACTGAAAACTGCCAACTATGCAAAACTATCAACTGTAAAGCCTGAAAAGTCTTGCTAAATAATTAGATACAATGAAATTCCCTCTTGACAAAGAAACAATATTTCAAGTATACTGAGAGGCTCGAAGTTAATAGTTAAAAAAAAAAGAAAGCAAGATTTACCAGAGTGAGAAAAAGAGCAGAATAAGAGAAGATACGGTAAAGACTGATAAAACAACGAATGGCAAAGAGAATGCCAGCTAGTGTCTCTTATTTACCCTCTCCTTTATGCAAACACAGAAATTTTATGTAGAGCTTTATGATAATAGAAAACAGCAAATTTAAAATAAAAGAGGAAATTATTTTATGCAGCATATAATAACTCCATTGAACATGCTGCTACAGGATATTATTAAAGCAAAAAGCTTCGTATGGCTCCCAAAGACTTCCGAGATATCAAAATAGGGTTCTATTTACAATTTACTTAGGGTGAAAAATTAAAATGGAGCTCATACCTCATGCTTCAGGGTATTAACTAGGCAAGATCAGAAAGGAAGATTCCTTTCCAATTGTTGTATTCAAAATCATTTCTGATTTCAACTTTTAAGCATTCCTAATTTCATTTTAGAGTCCAAATTAAGTGATAAGACTCTTCTTATCAAAACGTACCATTTTTCAGATACATCTCCTTTCCCATTTATTTTTCTAAATAATAGAGTCTTCCATTTCACCCGATTCTTCTTCCACTTCATTTATTCCAGCTTCAAAATATTGCCTAAGAAGTGATTATGAAGAACCACTAAACCATACATATATGTATATATATATAAAATCCATATCATGTTTGGAAAGGAGAGTTCCATAATGTTTCATTTTCCCACCTTCTTTCTCTGAGTAGAGAAAAATCTTAACTCACACAATACTTTGGTTCTGTTTAAATCACAAAATAAAAATCTGAGCTTGGATGCTGAGGTAGATCACATTTACAACATTTTAACCTGGGTCCAAGAGCTGCAGCAAGTGTCCCTTTAGAAGATGAATTTTAATCAATAAGCAACAATTTTATGGAGTAAGCCTCTAGATTGCCACATTAAAAAGGTTCAGCCCTCTAGGCTCTATCTTCACCACAGGCAACGAGAAATTGGTCTATGAAATGCTATGGCTCCAGTCAAGTTCATAAATTCAACACAAAAGAGTAGGCTATGAATGAGTTATAGACAAAATTCACAGCCTGAAAGCCTAAGAAAATGTGTGTGAAAAAGTTTGCGGGTCAATAAAAAAGAGATGCTAAATCCAAAAGTTTTAAAAACAATAAAATCATGTGTGGACAAGACCAAGGTGATCAGGAGGCAGTTTTACAGCTTGTGTCCATTTTGTAATCCAGTCCTCTCCATTTTGGACTTAGCAGTGGGGTGCCATACATGGTGGAAGGCCAGCCATAGCATTCAAGCTTGACTGAATTTTAAAAGTGACACAGTAATCAAATACACTCCAAAGGCATTCCAGAATTTCAGGGTGCTGCTGACCATTAAAATCAACCTCCTTATTGCTCCCTTCAAATGTAAACAGAATGTAAAGTACAATCCTCGGGTCAATTAAATGTAAGCCTATATATTTCATCTATCCAAAAATAGTGTTCAGAATAATCACTAGCAAAGAAAAATCTTAATATATGTACCTAAAAAGGCAATTTAATACCAGAGTTAGAAATAAGCAGATGACCTTCTAAAATATGGGATTTATATGTTTCTTCCTGAGCATAAAATAAGAATTTGATTTAGAATGCCCGTAAGGCACTATGTTTTTAAAACAGAACAAACAGAAAGCTAAGCAGCAGAAGCCCTTGTATGGTATTTGGTTTGGGAGACAAAAGAAGAAAGGCAGATTCCAAACAGATGGAAAGTGAAATACAGTAAAGTTATCCTTACCTGCATTAGTTTTCCTTCTGCTGGAGTTATTTCAGCAACACCAGCAAACACACCCTCCAATGTGAGATTCAATTTTCCTGTGGGGTCCATTTTCAGGGGGATCACTCTGATAATAGCTTTCTGCTCTGCGGATCTTTCAGACTCCACCGCTGCTGCCAGTACCAGTCCTGTGCGTCCAAAGCCTGCCTGCAGGATAGCCATCAGCAGCCAGGGCCAGAGGGCAGCCAGCTGCAGCTGGTGGCCACCACTCATGCTACCAGCTGCAGCAATGCACTTCGGCCATACATACTGCTTCCACTAGCTAACACCAAATGCAGTTTCCCAGATCCAGGCAAATGGAGGAAAAGAGAATTTATGCTTCAGTTTCAGAAAGCCAAGTCGGAGTTTTGGCCCTTTTTCTAAAGTATACTCCCAAGAACAGGTGGCAGTCCTGATGGGGCAGAGAAGAGAGTGTTTTCAGCCTACTTCTGTTGCAGGTATGTCATTTTCTCCCATCTTTACCCTTGTAAGTAAAGATATCACAACTTCTCTTTGCAACTTCCAACTTTGAGGTTGAATGTCACATCATGAATTTTTATGTCAGATCACTTGGTGTTGGTCTTCCATATGTAACAAGTTGCTGAGCCACCGAACCCAATGTTCATGAACAAAACAAGGCAAAGTAAACGGCTAAGGCCATGCATCCAAGTTGAGTGTGAAGAACTCCAGCTCAGAAAATGAAGAGATGGCACTTTTCAAGTCACAAAATTTGCTAATGGTGAATGACTAAAGACCTCAAGAAGAATTTTTTTTAATGGGGGGAGGTGGAAAACAATAATAAAACACAATTTCAGGCCACATCTTGAGGAATGTCCAAAGATGCTACAACATGTTTTCAGAAAAGTTTCCACATGAAACTGTATTTCAGTGTAGCCAAAGTTCTAGGCCCACTGATTTTATATACTTTTCATGAAGCTGGACATACTATAATTTTTTTGTTTTCTACCAAAATTTGCCTATAAATTAGGTGCTAAGTGTGTACATCTTCACATTGTACAAGACAATCCTGAGCATCACAACCTTTTCCAGCTTTCATAATTAGGAGAACATTTGAAAAGCTTAGCTTTCCAATTATTTTTTCCAGTTAAAAGTCACATTTCTATCTCCATTTTCCTCTCTCTCTTAGGGATTCCAGCTTTTATTCTCCAGCTTGAGAATGCCAAGCACTTTGATTTCCCATGAGATGCTTTTGGAAACTACTTTAGTATCCAGATCTCATAATCTGTAATTTTCTAGGTTCATAAGAAAAACAAAGGACTATTCCTAACACGTTTTCAAATTCCTTGAGGGGGTGGGGAATAAAAGGTAGAGGGGGTAGGGAGGTGATTAGTCACAGGCTTTGAGTAGAACACCCTAAAAAAGCAAAAATAAGCCTGAGTAGTGTAGTTCTGTGCTATTTCTAGGCACATTTGAGAACTTGGATCTTTGTACAAACACCAGTAAGATTTTAAAATGTGCACTCCTAAGTGAATATAAATGCACTTCCTCCACAAAACCCACTGTGTTTAGAAGTCAAGGTAAAAAATCTTATAAAGTCTCCAAAGCAACTGCTAGAAAGCCAAGCAATTGACCATGAACCTGTTATATAGATTCTTTTCTTTTGCTGAGGCAGAGGGGAAATAAAAATCTCAAAAGAAATCTGCAAACCTGTTGCGCTGTCGGGCCCACTGGAATCCACGGGGATGAAACAAATTCAATTATGCTTTCATAGATCCTGCTCAGAAAAGGTTTCAACTGCTTAACCAAGTACAGCTCACTCTTCCACCTTCTTACTCTGCAACCAAACCAAGTGCCCCACACTGCAGGTAGGTGCCGAGAAATTCCGCAGCCTGAAAAAATAATCCATGCAGGTCAAAGGCAGAAACTTACTCCAGGGTGAGAACTAGTGTCCCCAAGAACTCTAAAAACACTTATAGAGGCTCCAAAATCATTTCTGAAATCTCCTTTCTAACAAAAGTTCTTTTCCTCCCCGAACAGCATATAAAATGATCAAATCTTGAAAGAGAAAAGAAGCAAAGTAGCAAACACATCAGCAACAATTCACTACCAGGAACACAGAAAATCCCAGAGGGAGAAGGCAATATCCCTGAATCATGGATGGACTTGCAAAGTTCGGAAGGATTCGAGTGCTTCTCCCTAAGGAGGAAGCCAGTGGTTTGTAATTGGTGTTCTAGCTCTGACTCCCTCCCCTGGGACTGCAATCACGCTCTCTACCTGCTGACACAAAGTGAGGGTGGAGCAGCTAGAGGCGGCCACCCCCACACGCCCCTCCTCCTCCTCCTGGCTGGCCAGGGCACAGGCTTGGGTGTGCGCACACACTTACCCAGACTCGTTCAGTAGCTCACTCCTCTCTCAGCTCCTCTACTCCCTCTACTGAGCCAAAGACAAACTGCATCCAATTTAATTCTTCATACCTTTCTTTGAGTAAGCAAGCTATCACATGTAAACTGGGGTCACTCAAACAGACAACTAAACAGATTCTGCACCCAATAGAGCATAGATGGTGGTATGTGGAAATAGTTAAAAAAAAAAGGAAACCAGAAGATAAAAGAATGGGACACAAGGGTTTAGAGTTCAAAGAGATTTCTACTCTGGCCAAGTTTTAGTGTCTGTAAATCACATGAAGTCAGAATAAAGCGATGTTGTGCTGTAGTACTTACTGATTTATTGCTGTCTTATGTCTGCTACCCTGTGAAGGACTCTATTTTATGCATGGCTATTCTTCCGTTCTTACTAATTTAAATTCAGTAGCCTTTTCTAAACTGTGCCTGCGTGGAGCTTTCAGATGAGGTTCGTGTCAGAGGTCTGGCATTCAACTGTTATTTTCTTCTCACATCTTTAGGAGGTGAAATAATACTATGGATCAGATATGTGTCCTCAATATAAGATTGCAGGTAAGTCTATATCATAAATCTGAGCAAAGAGGTAAAATATGCTTAATGAGTGTAGGCAAAAAGAAACCTAGTTTTTGGCTAATAAGCACATTCATGAACTGTAACCCTTCTAGCAACCTTGTCATTAGAAATAATGCAAAAGTTTCTAATATATGTTTCTAAAGTTTTAGTTTTCATACCCAATTATATTTGACTGCGGCCAGATGTTTTATTTTTGAGCTGCTGCCAGTAATCTTTCAAAATTGTACAAATAAATCTGTTCGATCATCTGTAAAATGTAGATAATAATAATTGCATTATAGGTGTTTGTAAAGGTTAAATGGCATAATACCTCTGAAAGCAAGAATTATGAGTAAACCTATTCACCGTGAACGTTTTTTCCTATAGAAAGCTTAAGGGGATAGTTTCAGAAATTTAGACATAATAACACAGAACAGAGAGATGTATTCTAAAGTAAAATCTTAATTTAGTACTTTCTCTCTTGCTTAGACCTTAAGAACATAATGCAAGTATAGATTTTTTGTAGCTCCTTTCCTAAAGGATAAGAATAGTTCTAATTCTTTCAGAGAGAAGTCTTGAAAATCTGCTATGGTTTTACATTATTATTTTATATATGCCATGTAATAGTACACCATAAATAATGATAAATGCAAAAAATATCTTTAAACTAAACAAAAAGTAACCTACAAATGGACTTTGCCTTACCTACTCATGCTTGAAACTTATAAAGGAATTAAGAGACCCAAACTTGCAAAGGAATTAAGAGACCGAAACCCAATATTAAATACCCGATAGTAAATAGACTGAAGCAGAAAGAAAGTCATAGATGTGGTCGTCCTCTTTTGAGGAAACCCCAAGATCTGGGAATGATGATGACATGTATCATGAACCTGGGGAGCTTGTAATACACAGGATCAAACCAAACAGCTCTATGTAGTTTACTTTACTGATATACTGTTTATTTAGGTCATCAGAATTGACAAGCAAGAAAAATTATTCTTCAAAGTTTTGGAGATATACTGAACCACAACATTTCCACAGAGATGTTAGAAAGATAACTCTCACTATGGTAATGAAATGTCCATCTCACTGACATCTACTACCTAATCTTACACATGAGACAGAAGAATCTACTTTCACATCTAGATTGTTACTGAAAATCATTCATCCTTTTCCAAAAAAGCAGGTTTCTGTAAAATATGTCCTGGAATTGTCCTTATTCTTAATGGCATTCTAAAAATTCAATCTCTGTTCAGGGGCAAATGGAAAAAAAAAAAAAAGCCACAGTACATTTTTTTAAAAAGTCAGTTCTTTGAAAAACAGTACATTCTCTTTTGAACTTCACTATTATTTTTTTATTTTTATTGTAGTTTAAGTGAAAGTTTACATTTCAAGTTAGTCTCTCATACAAAAATTTATACATACATTGTTATGTGACTCTAATTGCTCTCCTTATACTGTGACAGCACATTCCTCCTTTCCACCCTGGATTTCCCGTGTCCATTCAACCAGCTTCTGACCCCTCCCTGCCTTCTCATCTCACCTCCAGACAGGAGCTGCCAATTTAGTCTCACGCATCTACTTGAGCTAAGAAGCACACTCTTCATGAGTATCATTTTATGTCCCATAGTCTAGTCTAATCTTTGTCTGAAGAGCTGGCCTCGGGAATGGTTTTAGTTTTGGGTTGACAGACAGTCCAGGGGCCATGCTTTCTGGGGTTCCTCCAGTCTCAGTCAAACCATTAAGTCTGGTCTTTTTACTAGAAATTAAGTTCTGCACCCCACTGTTCTCCTGCTCCATCAGGGACTCTCTGTTGTTGAACTTTACTATTATGATTAATGTCATAATGACTGAGTTTTCTATTGGTCACCAATCAAACAGTAAAAACAAGCAAGACAACCAGTCTAGATGGAACATTCACTTTATTGTTGACTGACTGAAATTTATTGGTGCTTAAGGTGCTGAAATACTGAGGTACTAGACAGGAACCTTGTTAGTATGTGTCAGACCCTACTGGCAAATTCACATGAAGATTTTATTTCATCTTTTGTCATTTTGCCCAAGTCAGTGACGACAGCTTTAGTGATAGGTTTGTGTGTATAGTGGGAGATCCAGCTCCTTTGGTCTGTTGTATTCATATATAAAAAAGTTTGAAAAGCTGATTAAGGCATTTCATTAATTAAGCCTTAAAACCACCAAATCTATGCCAAAATTCCTGCTTGACACATGTTCCTCAAAAGATATTATCTTTTTCAATGTATATAAAGCCAAGAAAGGCACATTTAAGGGAAGGAGCATCACCTACATCGTATATTAGCTTTAGCTTTTTCCTTCATTTGAAAACTGAGTCTCTTCTTTACATACTCTGCCAAAAGATATAGTCTGGCCAAAAGACGTAGCAGTCTTGATAACTTTTTTTCATCTTTTAAACCTTGCTAACAAAGACAAATAAATGCCCATCACATGGACATCAACTAGTCTAATCAGATGGACCAGACAAGTCACTTTTCAGAACCTATTTTCATATCTAAATTGACACTGTAGACCAATGCAGAGCTCACCCTTTTCCAAAAAAAATAGATCTTCATAACACTTCTAGGGCTTGACATCATTGCAAAGGCACAATGCAACTTAAGAAATGAATCAAATTACACCCACAATGGCTAGCATAGTACTTATGTCATATCACTAAGTGCCTT